CATGAATGTAATAATAATATTGGTTGTGCTGAAGACTTGGGCGTGTGTGTGTGTGTGTGTGTGTCTCCTCTCACTCCCTGCTCCATGAGCTTTATCATACCTCGTCTTAAAACTATGTATGGTTTCTGCCTCCACTACGTCACTTACCAGGCTATTCCACTTCCTGACAACTATGACTAAAGAAATACTTCCAAACATCCCTTCTACTCATAGTCTTCAACTTTCACCTGTGACACCTTGTTTCTCTGTTCCATCTCTGGAACATCCTGTCTTTGTCCACCTTGTCAATTCCTCACAGTATTTTATATGTCGTTATCGTGTCTCCCCTGGCCCTCCTGTCCTCCAGTGTTGTCAGACCGATTGTGTGTGCATGTATACGCCCTATGGAAGGGTTTATTTTTTTTTTTTGCCGTGTTTTGGCGGAAGGTGTATGAAGTGTTGTGCGCGTAGAAACTAATTTGTGTCTATTGGGTTGATATTTAGCTTGGCACCGTGTATGAATATTCATATGCACATACATGACCACTGGTGTGTGTTCATGTTGTACATCAACTATGATCACACAACGTGTGCGCAGACACGTGTGTGTGGCGGGTAAAATGGGCGTCCATACAAGTTTAGTTAACAGGTGACCAATGCACCAACCTTTATAGTGTAATGATGGTAGTGGCGTCGTGAAGGAACGTGTGCGTCGTCATCCACCCCACAACATGTCAAGGAGCAACTGGCTGGAGTACCGGGGCGGGGCAGACTATATAGCACACGTGAGCTCCAAGAAAAACCTTGCGACAAACACACTTGAAGCACTGAGAGAGTTTCACCTCCCGGCTGGCCTAGGTGATCAGTGAGAAGGCAGGCTCCCACGTCCCAACACCTTCTGACTTGGATATATACCCTATTACTCCTTTCAAGTATAAGGCTAATATTTAATTTTATTACTCTCCATTATCAGGTTATGCATTTATTTGTTATTTTTTCTAATCAGTTTTTGAGAAGAAATTAGTAAGGAAGTTTTTTGGAATCATCAGCAAGAATTCGGACACCGGCTTCATCCGATTACTGTGGCGTCGGCTATCACAATCGTCATCGACTCGCTCTTAAGCTCGCCTGTCAACATCGTCGCATTTCTTATTTAATCGATCACTTTTTTACTTTTTATTTAAACCTTACAATACAACAACGTGTCTATCTGCCACGACATATGTAGAATTCTCCTCTGAATCTATCACTTTTATGCAATTTCACAGACATCTGACAAAAGTATAAATTTAATACAGTCGATGTGCTAGAAACCGGTATATTCTGTAATAAATGAAAGGAGTACATAGGTGAGGTCTAGGGGCGAGAGACCATCTCTTGACAGCTTACATCTCAAGTTGCACGCCAACATTCTAATTTTTTACATAAGAGATTTTTAACTATTGCAGTTCCACACACAGAAAAAGTTAGGATTGTTATTACATGCATGAAGCACTAAACTATTAAAGGTTATATAGCGCTTAGGGTATGGAAGGTATTTAAGTTTGATCCAAGGTAAAGTTAGCTCTTAATTCCTTAAACCAGGACCAAACAGTCCCCTAGAAGGCTGTGTTAGGTAATGACTATTAAACATTTTGGCGTGGACGTATGTACTGCCTGTGAGTGGCTTCAAGCCTCGATGTATATAAGTACATGGTCAGTACCACAGGAAGAGTTTCATCAGCAAAATTGCGCAGCTTCTGTTCTACGTGATATTTTGTGAAGTTAAAAGCAAGAACTATGTTTTGCATATACACTCGTCACGACAGATGGTGTTTAAGTTTGCTCCATCATACAAGATGAGTTTACAATCAAAACCAAGTGCTAAACCCACAAGGCCCCTCAAGGAAGGTTCCTTGATGTTGGTGAGAGGCTCTTGATTTAAGGAATTGGATCTGCTCCAGTTCCCCGAATTAAGCCTGAATGCCTTCCACATCCCCCCAGGCGCTGTATAATCCTCCGGGTTTAGCGCTTCCCCTTGATTATAATAATAATAATAATAAACCCACAAGGGTCATACTGGGATGAGTTTACAAAAAAAAAAAAAAAATACTGAAATTGACAGTTTGAACTGGGAGACTAGTAGGATGGTGGTACATCAGTGTTTGACTTTAGTAAGTTCTCCCACGTTAATTTTCACGTAACTATGTAAAACAAATTAAAAAAAAATAAACGTGTATTGAGCCTAGAGGGCTTATTATTACTGTAATTACACGCAAGGGGAATGCTGGGAGAACTAGAAATGGTATAAACCTTGGTAATAAATACCGGCAAGTTGGTTTAGATTATTATAATCAAGGGGGAAGCGCTAAACTCACAGGATTATACAGCGCCTGTGGGGGGGGATGGAAGGTATTCAGGGTTAATTCAGGGAACTGGAGCACAGATCCAGTTCCCTAGATCAAGAGCCCCTCACCAGCATCAAGGAACCTTCCTCGAGGGGAGTTGGTTTAGAAAGACACGTAAGTAATGTCTGAGGATCTCACTTTCAAGGATCACAATAGTGCCACGATCGCACGTGCAAAGAAAATGATAGGATGGATACTGAGAACGTTCAAAACGAGAGATGCCAAGCCAATGATGATCCTTTTCAAATCACTTGTTCTCTCTAGGCTGGAATACTGCTGTACATTAACATCTCCATTCAAATCAGGTGAAATCGCAGATCTAGAGAGTGTACAGAGATCCTTTACTGCACGTATAAGTTCTGTCAAGCACCTTAACTACTGGGAATGCTTGGAAGCACTTGACTTGTACTCGTTGGAACGCAGGAGGGAGAGATGTATCATAATCTACACTTGGAAAATCTTGGAAGAAATGGTCCCAAATCTGCACACAGAAATCACTCCCTACGAAAGTAAAAGACTGGGCAGGCGATGCAAAATGCCCCCAATAAAAAGTAGGGGCGCCATTGGTACACTAAGGGAAAACACCATAAGTGTCCAGGGCCCAAGACTGTTCAACAGCCTCCCATCAAGCATTAGGGGAATTGCCAATAAACCCCTGGCTGCCTTCAAGAGAGAGCTGGACAGATACCTAGTCAGTGCCGGATCAGCCGGGCTGTGGCTCGTACGTTGGACTGTGTGCGGCCAGCAGTAACAGCCTAGTTGATCAGGCCCTGATCCATTGGGAGGCCTGGTCATGGACCAGGCCGCGGGGGCGTTGATCCCCGGAATAACCTCCAGGTAGGTAAGCACACACTATAATCTATTTATTAGAAAACGAGAAGTGATCAAGGTCCCAGGACAGAAACGTATTCTAATAAATATGTCATAGTGTTTGCTTAAGTGTCTTTCTAAATCAGAATTGGAAATAATAGGATTCGATCCAAGGCAGGGAAGAACAAGTCTAAATTCTAGGATCAAGAGCATCTTACCAATATCAAGAACCATCCTTTAGGAAATTATTATAATAATGGGGAGCGCTAAACCTGTAGGATTATACAATGCATGTGAGGGGAAGGGGATGGAAGGTATTCGGGCTTAATTCGGGAAACTGGGGTACAGATCCAATTCCCTATATCAAGAGCCCCCTCACCAGCATCAAGGAACCCCCCTACAGGGGTCATTTAGGAAAAAAAAAATCACTTAATAGCCTAAAAAGGGTGTTTCTCTTGATTCTTCTTGCTGACTTTGTCAACAGTGATACAACATGAAGATATGTGCAAACACATGCAAACACCCAGCAATTTCAGTGTTATTATTTCACCTTGGTATTTTTTTTCAGCCTACAGTGTAACATTCATATAGGCCTATGGTTGCAATCTACTGTCCTACTTAATATCTTTTAATATTTGTGATTTCTCCCTCCAGCTGGCCACGCTAGCTGGAGATTCGTCTGTAAAAACTTGCATTTGTGGTCACAGTGGTGCCTATGCTAACCCCGTCCGTGATATGTTTGTTTGCAATCATGTCATTACGATTTCGTGAGTCATGTTGATGGCTTCGAGGGGACTTGAGCTAGAGTTTGTCACTGCCACGCTAGCTGGAGATTCATCTGTAAAAACCTGCATTTGTGGTCACAGTGGTGCCTGTGCTAACCTTCCTATGGTGTATAAATACACCTAGTTGGATGAATCTTACTGTGGCTAGCTGGCCCAGTGGCTAACGTGACGGTCTGGAGTTTTGAGACTCTCTGATCGCGGGTTCTAACCTCGTCCGTGGTATGGTTTATGATCTAACATAAATACTTTGTTTCCATTCCAATGATATACCCTGAATTAAGCAGTATTTTTTTTTAATGTCAATATTTTGAATGCCTCCTTTTCTTCAATTTCAGCCATTTTAAAGTTTTTGCAGAATAATTGTCATGAAATTATCAAAAATGCATTCTTTTATGTCAAGAAGTCTGTTTGGCAAGAGAGATTTAGGCAAAACTTGTTCATTATTTTAACTTAAGCCATATTTTAAGCTTATGTGGTATGATCAATGCAGAAGTCAACTAAAAAAAAAATTAGGAAAACTTAACAAGAATATAATGAAGGGTTGTGTCATATTCAGTGATACAAAAGCATCACAGTAGACGTGTGAAGCCTAGACTGAAGTTCTGTATATATACAAACTTTATCCACATCAGTGCCCCCTTGAAGCTCCCGCAATCATGAAGTGCTCTTGATCCAAGGAAGTGGAGCTACCTGTATTTTTTAATTAGTAATTATTAAATCTGATTTTATTGAAAGGGTTGAAGCCATGGTAATAAAACAGGCAGCACAGTCAGCAGTGTGGCACAAGACAGAGGCACCTACAAACAGGTGGATGCTTCCTGAGGTGCACATTCCTAGCCTCGGTCTACAGGAGAACTGTCACTTAGAAACAATTCCTGTGGAAAGATCACTACTATACTTAAGGGGAAACACTAAACCCATAGGAGTCCTACAGCATCTGGGGAATGGAATACCTGTGTTAAAGTTGAGTGACCAGCCTTTACATGTCAATAATAATATTTATCCATCTAGTTTTCATAGGAAATAAAAAATCCATGTATAAATTCGAACTCTTTAATTTTAAGTATATCATGGCATTGTAATTGCACTGACTTCGCATAGAAAAGAAAAGCAAGACTTACAGTGATCGTCAAGTAGCAAATATTTCATGACAACTATAAATCAAGATACAATATGTAATATGTAATATATGTAATATGATATTAGCAGTTTGGAGGGATATGTTGTGTATCTTTATACGTATATGCTTCCAAACTGTTGTGTTCTAAGCACCTCTGCAAAAAACAGTGATTATGTGTGAGTGTGGTGAAAGTGTTGAATGATGATGAAATATTTTCTTTTTGGGGATTTTCTTTCTTTTTTGGGTCACCCTGCCTTGGTGGGAGACGGCCGACTTGTTGAAAAAAAAAAATGTAATATGGGTAGAAATAAAGTTTTTTTATACAAAGTAATTTCATGCTTAAAATTAGGCAGTATAATAATCAATATTTTATCTAAGCTGGAAACTTAACATTTAAAAAAAAATGTGTAAACACACAAGATACATTACTCAGTCAATTTTCTGTCGATAAATATGAATGTCATTTGTATTCTTGCATTCATATCAAACCCTCTATCCAATTATACAACTGTATTAATATTTAATTAGTAATAAAAATTATTATAACTTTAGGCTCCTGTATGTATTATGATTATTTTATGTTGAAATATTCAGCACAGACTGAGCCAAATCCCAGTCAGCCTTCTTGAGCAAGATCCAGAGGTTGAGCTGCTTGGCCCGGATTTTGGACCAAATGACATGGTCACTAAGTGCCAGAATGGAGGCGGCACTCTGAGCTGCTGCTTCTGGGTACATGACTGTGCCACATCCCATACCTGCCAATTTTGGTTAAGAAACTAAGCATGGTATGTATTCTACAATATGTATTATTAATAATTAAATTTTATTGATGGTGAAGTGCTAAATCTGATAAAGATAAGATAAAGATTTATTCCTTTGTAAAGATTATAGTGTGTAATTACAATTTTGGTTTGCTAAGTACGAAGAAAGCCACTATCATGCTAGGGAATTTTGGGCAGATTAATCCTAGTACATAGCAACTACTTAAAACTAGACATAATAATAGTGGTTAACTTTATTACACCTAGGTAGTAGGTTGGTAGACAGCAACCGCCCAGGGAGGTACTACCGTCCTGCCAGGTGAGTGTAAAACTGAAGCCTGTAATTGTTTTACACTATGGTAGGATTGCTGGTGTCTTTTTTTTTTCTGTCTCATACACATGCAAGATTTCAGGTACGTCTTGCTACTTCTACTTACACTTAGGTCACACTACACATACATGTACAAGCATATATATACACACCCCTTTGGGTGGCCGGTGGCCTGGTGGCTAAAGCTTCCGCTTCACACACGGAGGGCCCGGGTTCGATTCCCGGCGGGTGGAAACATTTCGACACGTTTCCTTACACCTGTTGTCCTGTTCACCTAGCAGCAAATAGGTACCTGGGTGTTAGTCGACTGGTGTGGGTCGCATCCTGGGGGACAAGATTAAGGACCCCAATGGAAATAAGTTAGACAGTCCTCGATGACGCACTGACTTTCTTGGGTTATCCTGGGTAGCTAACCCTCTGGGGTTAAAAATCCAAACAAAATCTTATCTTATCTTCTTCTATTTTCTTTCTAGTTCTTGTTCTTGTTTATTTCCTCTTACCTCCATGGGGAAGTGGAACAAAATTCTTCCTCTGTAAGCCATGCGTGTTGTAAGAGGCGAATAAAATGCCGGGAGCAAGGGGCTAGTAACCCCTTCTCCTGTATATATTACTAAATGTAAAAGGAGAAACTTTCGTTTTTCCTTTTGGGCCACCCCGCCTCGGTGGGATACAGCCAGTGTGTTGACAGAAAGAAAGAACTTTATTACAATACTCTTTAATCTTAATACAGTGCCTGAGAAAAGAAGGTTATCAAGTTGGATTCAAGGAGAGGGAGGCTAGCTCTTAATTCCATAGATCAAGAGACTTTTACTGAGATTAAGAAACCCTCTTGAAGGGTCTGAGCTTTATCCTTGTACAGTGGACCCCCGCATACCGTCGGCATCACATAACGTTCAATCCGCATACCGCTCGCTTTTATCGCAAAAATTTTGCCTCGCATACCGCTCAAAAACCCGCTCACCGCTCTTCGTCCGAGACGCGTCCGATATGCGCCCTTAGCCAGCCTCACATGTGCCGCCGGTGGCATTGTTTACCAGCCAGCCTCCGCGGTAACATCCAAGCATACAATCGGAACATTTCGTATTATTACAGTGTTTTTGGTGATTTTATCTGCAAAATAAGTGACCATGGGCCCCAAGAAAACTTCTAGTGCCAACCCTACAGCAATAAGGGTGAGAATTACTATAGAGATGAAGAAAAAGATCATTGATAAGTATGAAAGTGGAGTGCGTGTCTCCGAGCTGGCCAGGTTGTATAATAAACCCCAATCAACCATCGCTACTATTGGTGGTACAGCTGCTGCTGCTGCTGCTGTACCACCGTCAGCTGCTGCTGCACTGTCAGCTGCTGCTGCTGCTGCTGCTGCTGCTGTAGCACTGTCAGCTGCTGCTGCTGTTGTACCACCGTCAGCTGCTGCTGCTGCTGCTGTACCACCGTCAGCTGCTGCTGCACTGTCAGCTGCTGCTGCTGTAGCACTGTCAGCTGCTGCTGCTGTTGTACCACCGTCAGCTGCTGCTGCTGCTGTAGTACCGTCTGCTGCTGCTGTAGTACCGTCTGCTGCTGCTGTAGCATTGTCTGCTGCTGCTGTAGCACTGTCAGCTGCTGCTGCTGCTGCTGTAGCACTGTCAGCTGCTGCTGCTGCTGTAGCACCGTTGTTGGTGTGGCTTATTGAGAATACCAAGAAACAATTAACCCCAGAGGATTTGCCACCCAGGATAACCCAAAAAAGTTAGTGTCATCGAAGACTGTCTAACTTATTTCCATTGGGGTCCTTAATCTTGTCTCCCAGGATGCAACCCACACCAGTCGACTAACACCAGGTGAACAGGGAAAAATGCCTGGAACTAGTGCTCATATTGGTGAATTTAAAGCCAGCAAAGGTTGGTTTGAGAGATTTAAGAATCGTAGTGGCATACACAGTGTGATAAGGCCTGCTCTGGAAGAAAATGCCAAACAGGACCTACAGTACTCAGGAGGAAAAGGCACTCCCAGGACACAGTGTCTCATCAGTCATTGCTGCATCTTCAATAAAGGTAAGTGTCATTTATTCTTCATTTAGTAGAGTAGTACATGCACAATATATATTGTGCATGTACTGCTCTACTATTGTGCATGTATCCTTCTCTTTGTGTGTAGGAAAATGTATATTTCATGTGGTAAAAATTTTTTTTTCATACTTTTGGGTGTCTTGCACGGATTAATTTGATTTCCATTATTTCTTATGGGGAAAATTCATTCGCATACCAATCATTTCGCATAACAATGAGCCCTCTTGCACGGATTAAAGTCGCTATGCGGGGGTCCACTGTATTTACAGCTTCTATTTAGCAATTTTATATGGTTAATTAACAACTGTTTTAGAAGACCCTAATTATTTTTGCCTGATTATATTCAAAATACCAGCATCCACTAGTAAAAAAAACTATTCTCACCTGAGGGAAGATTTAGTGAAGACCAAATATCTCTTGCAGCATCCTCAGGCTTCAGTGGTGGGCAGTTTATGACTGGGTAGCATGTGTTGGCACATGTAACAGGACCCAAACCATTGCTCCTACCAGCCACAGCTATAAACACCACTGGGATACCAAGCCCTTCATACTGCATTAACAAAAGAAAATTACTGATGAGATGCTAATTATAAAAACTTTGTCTTTACACATTTCTGTACATCATAAAAATGAGCATGTTTAATAGCTCTTATTGCCTCTTTATTCAGGGGAATTTAATTCTTTCACTAGGAAAAAACTTATTCTGTTAAATTCTTTTAATACCATAAACACAGACCAAGGAAATTTTCCTATCTATGATTTCACCACATTTAGTCTTCCCCCACATTTTAAACATTATTTGTTCCAGATACCTAAAACATTTAAAATATGTGCAGTACAATGATATTTTGGCTATCATAAATTAAAGTTACCACCTGCTTGCACTAGGAAACTTAGGAAACTGTAAAAAGAGTGAACTCCCCACATCTGTATTTCTTCCCCACATCACCAAGTCAATAACAATAAAAGTACCATAAATAGGTTTTGAAATATTTGTTATTAACATACATGTGCAATGATAGCAAGTGTCTCCTGAGTGCCTTTATGAGCAGATGTAACCCGCAGCTCACAGGGAACACCCAACCTCTTACAGTGTGCATGGATTTTCTCACAGTGTTCAGCATCAGAGGGGGATCCCATCAATACTGTCACCTGAAACCAAAGAACATCTTACAGTATATTCTTTAACTACATTAAATCTTGTCAAGATTAATGTACACACATGTACTAGTTATATATTTTTAAGGCTAAAGTTACTTTTGAAGCCACAATCCTTATCAAAACAAAAATCATGAGTTACTATCTGAATTCCATACTTACTTTTTTCCTCTAAGTCTGTGCATAATTTACTTTTAAATCTATAGTTACAGTACTAGCTCTTAATGAGCTTTTACGTCCCAAGCATCTATCTCTCATCTCTATTTCTGTTATGTGTACATATGTTATTCACAATTTCCTTTGCTTCAAGGTGCTTCATACCAATATACAATTAAGAAGAATGCCATATTAACCCTTAAATGGTCCAAACGTATATATACGTTTTTTCAACAGCTGAAAGTATGTAAAAAAATGTAGATCTTCTTTTTTGTTTTACATTTGAAAATGTGTAAAAAAACTTTTATCTACATTTTTTTTTTTTATATTTGAAAATATGTAAAAAAAAGTAGATCTACTTTTGTAGCACTACGAATTTGAACGTCGATCTCTTTGGACCGTTTAAGGGTTAACAGCTTCAATTTAGATTTTGGATATAGCAATAACTTTCCAGTAAACTCTGCACTGGTAGAAATTCAGACCCAAGATAAGAGATTTCAATGAGACTAAAGAGTGGGCAAACCTATCAATGTAATTTTAAGATAAATAAACCCTTGACATAAAGGATTTTTTTTTAAGACAGTAGTATATTATAAATCTCTATCAGTTTTAAATGGTCCTGAAAACAGAAAGAGTAATGACTGACCTAAAACAAACTTACCTTCCAGCAATCATTATAGTATTTCAAATAATTTACAGTACCTGGACATGGTAGTGTAACAGATGATCTTTGGGAAAAATACTATATAAAATACTATATAAAACTTAATATTTTCCTGAGGAAAATATTAAGGGAAGAAAAAGACAGTGAAGCATTATGTGGACAGCAAGAATTTTTGGTGCTGGAATCCAGTGTTAAGTCAGCATTGACGACAAAAGTAACTTGCTAAAAACATACCATGCACTCACTGCAACTTAGAAATCGATCAATGTTAAATCTCACAAATGCACAAGAGGACTTTGGCTACCTTAAAGGTGTTATTAACCAAATGACCATGAAAGAGGGAAGAAGGCATAGGATTCAATTTCTTCCACTGCAGCGGAAGAAACTGAATCCTATGCCTTCGCTTTATTCCAGAAACAATCTAGAGGGCGCACAGGGTAGAATGGTCATAGACGTGATATAAAACATACATGAGTGACAAAATTAACTCTCTATATTAGTGCGGATGACAAGAAAGAGATGATTGCTGATGTTATGAATGAAAAGAACTTGGATGTCCTGGCCCTAAGCAAAACTAAGCTGAAGGGGGTAGGGGAGTTTCGGTGGGGAGAAATAAATGGGATTAAGTCAGGAGTATCTGACTTAATCCCCTAAGGAAGGAGCAACAATAATGTTGAAGGATCAGTTATGGAAGGAGAAGAGAGAATAAAAATGTATAAATTCAAGGATTATGTGGATTAAAATAAAGATTGGATGCAAAAAGTGGGTCATAATTAGCGTGTATGTACCTGGAGAAAAGAGTGTAGAGGAAAGAGAGATTTCGTGAGATGTTAAGTGAATGTATAGGAACCTGCAAAATAGCTTTAAAAATGTTAAGACATATGAGAGGGAATGGGTGTGTGTGTGTGTGTGTGTGTGTGTGTGTGTGTGTGTGTGTGTGTGTGTGTGTGTTATATATATTATATATATATATATATATATATATATATATAATATATATATATATATATATATATATATATTTTATATATATATATATATATATATATATATATATATATATATATATATATATATATTATATATATATATATATATATATATATATATATATATATATATATTTTATATATATATATATATATATATATATATATATATTAGGTAGATGGCGAGAATATTTTGAGGAACTTTTTAAATGTTGAGGAAGAAAGGGAGGTGGTAATTTCATGCACTGGCCAGGGAGGTATACCATCTTTTAGGAGTGAAGAAGAGCAGAATGTAAGTGTGGTGGAGGTACGTGAGGCATTACGTAGAATGAAAGGGGGTAAAGCAGCTGGAAAATGATGGGATTATGACAGAAATGTTAAAAGCAGGGGGGGATATAGTGTTGGAGTGGTTGGTACTTTTGTTTAATAAATGTATGAAAGAGGGGAAGGTACCTAGGGATTGGCGGAGAGCATGTGTAGTCCCTTTATATAAAGGGAAAGGGGACAAAAGAGATTGTAAAAATTATAGAGGAATAAGTTTACTGAGTATACCAGGAAAAGTGTACGGTAGGGTTATAATTGAAAGAATTAGAGGTAAGACAGAATGTAGAATTGCGGATGAGCAAGGAGGCTTCAGAGTGGGTAGGGGATGTGTAGATCAAGTGTTTACATTGAAGCATATATGTGAACAGTATTTAGATAAAGGTAGGGAAGTTTTTATTGCATTTATGGATTTAGAAAAGGCATATGATAGAGTGGATAGAGGAGCAATGTGGCAGATGTTGCAAGTTTATGGAATAGGTGGTAAGTTACTAAATGCTGTAAAGAGCTTTTATGAGGATAGTGAGGCTCAGGTTAGGGTGTGTAGAAGAGAGGGAGAATACTTCCCGGTAAAAGTAGGTCTTAGACAGGGATGTGTAATGTCACCATGGTTGTTTAATATATTTATAGATGGGGTTGTAAAAGAAGTAAATGCTAGGGTGTTCGGGAGAGGGGTAGGATTAAATTATGGGGAATCAAATTCAAATGGGAATTGACACAGTTACTTTTTGCTGATGATACTGTGCTTATGGGAGATTCTAAAGAAAAATTGCAAAGGTTAGTGGATGAGTTTGAGAATGTGTGTGTAAAGGTAGAAAGTTGAAAGTGAACATAGAAAAGAGTAAGGTGATGAGGGTATCAAATGATTTAGATAAAGAAAAATTGGATATCAAATTGGGGAGGAGGAGTATGGAAGAAGTGAATGTTTTCAGATACTTGGGAGTTGACGTGTCGGCGGATGGATTTATGAAGGATGAGGTTAATCATAGAA